AATAACTATCGTCCAACTGGCGGTTGTGTGCAAGCACCACGGTGGTGCCGCTGTCCGACAGCTTAATTTTGTGCTGGGCATGTGCTATACTTAATACTAAGGCTTCGCCCACGTTGTTGCCCTCCACACGCCACTGCGCACCACCTTCGAGAGTCACATAGCCGCCAAAATACACCAACGCGGAATCCGAAAACTCCGCGCTGCCAACAAAGTCGCAATCCGCCACTCTCAACAGCCCCGCGGAGCTCACGACGGTATCCTCAAATACATAAACTCCATTGACCGCGCTCATCGTGTTATTCTCCACGTCAAAGTAGCCGCCATTCTTCATAACAGCGTTAATGCAAATGGATGATTCCACACCGTCCTCCTCCTCCGTTGCACGCAGCGTATTTCCCTTCACAATGATCCCGCCACCATTAACAACACCAATGGAGAAATAGACTGCGTACCTATTCCCCTCCATGTTGTTGTCAAGTACCAGCAGCGTCGAGTTCGCTCCAAGAGAAGGCAAATAAAAAGCAACGGCATGGACCGACGTCGTCACAATCGTACTGCCCACCACCAGTATCTGGGAGCTCACACCAAAATCACCCTCAAACTCCAAAGCACCGGAATCCAACATCGAGGATGTCACGTTCACGTGCACTCGCGCACCACTCCCCTTGATCGACAGGCCTATGAGGACGCACTGCAGCAGCGTGATGTTGAGTGTCTGCTGTGGCGCGTCAAAATGCAACAGGTCCAGCACAATCGCGGCAGTGAAGGTCACGTTGACAAAGCACAGACCATGCACACCGGGATCAGGATCGTCCACGGAGATGATGATGCCACCGTGCACGCAGCGGACCTCCGTGTCCTTCGCATCGGGGAGCGGGAGCGGCCCAAGGCCGTCCGGAACAGCAGCTGGCAGACACGTGTCGCCGTGGCCGCCAGCAGCGCACACACACTCACAGCCGCTGATGCTGCTCGTCCTCGCCGCAAAGCACACGGCGTCCACGGTGCACGCACCACAGTCCAACACCGTCACGGGCACTCCAATATTGAGGTCGTATTGGTAATTCGTCACAGGTGAGCCCCTTGCCTCGTTGCACACGCCGTAGATGATCGGGCGCGCGTCGGATGGTGGTGACCAGTTGCTTGTCATATTTGCGATGGTCGACGAGTACGAGCCGTACGTGAAGCTGTTGTCAAGTATCGACCACACACTCTGATCGCGGAACGCCACGCCGTAGTAGTTCGTCACGTACACAACGTAGGCGGCGCGGAACTCGTTGTCGCGGTGCACCAGCCAGCTGCCGCCAGTCACGGTCAGCGTGGTTGCCATGAGCATGGCGAAGCCGAGACGGAAAGTGCTGGACACAATCTGCAGCACGCTGCCGCCAGCCACCGCAACATCCCTAAAAACAAACGCGCCTTCTTGGAGTTTAGCACTCGACGCACTCCACGAGCTGTTCTGCACCGAGAACACGGAGCCGCCGCCGACAAGCAGGTCCGACCCAAAAGCGTACAACACGTGCGCACGCGACATAAGGACACAGTTGTCCACGTAGAAGACGCTGGACAAGTTCGCGACAAAGCCGCGCTCCACGAGGATAGCAGCGCACAAGCCCCCGCCACACACCAGCGACAACCGCGTCATGACAAACCGCGTCGACAGAAGCCGGACACCGTCCAGGACAAGCACGGGGCCGTACCGAAATCCCGAAAGGCCAGGGGTCGTCGGCACGTACTGCGACCCGCCAACCGTCGCACGCAGCGTTGAGTTCGCCAGCAGCACACTCGAGTTCGGCGGCATCGCGCCATGCAGCACAATCGTGCCCTCCAGCGACGTCACATTCGTCATGTTGACGAGGGCGTGCGGCATCAAGCGCGCCGTGCTCTCGCCGAGGCCACCAATCAGCAGTTGCGCGCCGCCCGCAAGCACGCAGTGGCGCAGCGTCACGTTCAGCGCGTCAGCGAACGCGTCCATCAAGCGCAGGTCCACCGCCACAGTGATCGGCCCGCTGAACACCACCGAGTCGAAGCACGCCGTCGCCCGCCAGCCGCCAACCGTCACCGACTCCGTCAGCGTCACGCCACTCACGCAGCCCTCCGCAGCATCGCCACCACCGCCACCGGCCCTTGCAGGCGGCACGTCGAACGGCAGGCACGCCTCGCCCACGCCGCCGGCACGGCAGCTGCACACGCAGTCGGAGAACGACGCCGTCAGCGCATTGAAGCACGCCAGCGCAGCCGCACAGCCGTCGCACGGCACCACGCTCACGGAGGGCAGGCCAGCCATGCGGTATTCGCCGCGGCTCCGCAGCACCCGGCCGCCGGCACGGTTGCACTGCACCGAAACGACGCCGCTCGTGATCGTCGGCCCGGAGACAAGCGTCGCGCCAGCGGCAGCGCAGCGCGCAATCGACACGGTGCCGCCGCCCAGCGTCACACCCGAAAGCGACGCCACCGACGACGCCTCGCCCACCGCCCACACGTCGCGCAGCTCCAGCCACCCGCCGCCACCAACCGTCCCACCGTCGCAGCGCACCAGCGAGGACGCAACAGACCCCTCGACGCGCACAAAGCGCAGCACCGAATCAAACACCGCAAGGCGCTCTCCAAGGACAATGCCGCCGCCGCTGCTCACAACCGAGACGTTCGTCACGGAGAACACCGAGTGGCTCTGCAGGCTGAGACGCGACGAGGACGCCACATGCATCGCGGATGCGGTCGGACCGCCCGACGCCTCCAGCAACACGCCGTCAAGCACCACCGCGCTCGACAGCAGGTCCACGCCGCCGCCAAAATACACCGCCGACCCACCCGCGTGCAACGACCTCAGCACAGTGTTGCTCACACGCAGCTGCGTCTGCAACAGCGAAATCGCGTGCAGCACAAGCGGCGACGCCACCGCGTCCGTCAGCCCGCTCAGCTGGGAGTAGTGCATCGGTCCCGCCGCCACAATCGTCGAGTCACGGACCGTCACGTTTGTGTGTGCCGGCAGGCTGTGCATAAACACGAGCGAGCAGTAGCTCCCGGACAGCCCGCTCACGCTCACCTCCAGGCTCCGGTCACTCGCCGGCTCGCCGCTGTAGCCCCGCACGTAGATCTGCGCACCGCCGTCGCACACGCAGTTCCTCAATTCGATGCGCAGCGCGCCGGGAAGCATCGCCGCAACGTCGAACACCACAGCCACGCCGTTCGTGATGGACACGCCGTCCATCAGCACCGTGTCCACGGCGCGGCCAACCGTGATGGCTCTGTCCACCGTGCCGCCCCGCAGTCGCAACACCACCGCATGCACCGCGGGCATCCACGCCGCCGCCGCAACCAGCGCCAACACCAAAAGAAGCGCCACACGCACAGCCGTAATGGCCCTGCTCCGCACACAGTGCCGGCTGCGCGGACACACACCCTCCGCAGACCGCATCCACAGACCCAAACAGGTACCAACAGGGCTGTCGTGGTGTGTCGCACTCGCCCCGTCCACCATAACTCCTGTCCAACAAATCCCTTTCTACAGATGGCAAATACAGATACACAATTCCTATATAACGCTATCCCACTAATACTTGTCCTAATACAGCAATTAATACTTAATACCTTGAAACGATAGTTGTAATGGTGAAGCCAAAGTAACTCTAACTGCTCGGTCAGAAGAGAAGGAAGACAGGAACAACAGCAAATAAACACAGTGGCACGCAGAGGCATCCGGCCACAGCCCGACCGCCAACACAAAGACGCGAGAACACAATCAAAACAGTTACGCCATCCACCCCCCACCGCCCACGCAGCCCCACACAACCACCGTGCGGAGTGGCGGGATCCCAGCAAAGAAGCACATGACCATTGGCACCGCTAGCGTGACCGATGGGTCGGCACTGCACAGAACAAACGCACACAACGCCAGCAGACACACACCAATGGAGAAGGACGAGAAGAGACACAACGCCGCCGCCTCTCGTCCAATCCCACAGCCTGCGGGACGCGGCCACAGCCACGCAGCCAACACACAACGCACACCGAACGAGCGCCCACACCACCAGCCACACGCGGAAGTGGCTCCTCATCCAGCCATGGCGTGGCACGAAAAAATCCACTGCCATCCCGCCCTCAGTGCGATGCGGCGCCTCACTCCATGCGGTCACACGCGGTGCGTCACACCATGAGGAAGAGTGACTCTCGGTGCACGCAGCCTTTTCCTCCATTCTCTTCATATCCACAGAAGAAAGGAAAAGCCACACGCAACTTCAGGCATTCACTAAAAAAAAAAAAGCATCTGCATGCATTGCAAGAAGCAATTTGTGTGCATTTGATTGTGTTTTCCTGCACACAGAAAAAAAAAAAAAAGTAGAGCATTTGCGCGCGCATATACAGCTAAAAACAAGAAAAGAAACCCCAACAGAAGTGCAAAAGAAAAAAAGAAAAAATGAAAAAATCAACTGAAACTCACAACGGCACTGCAGCCCAGACAGCGTCAAATCACAAAAGGTTTATTTATGTTGTTGTTGTTTTTTCTAAAAATCGTTTTTCATTATTTCTTCCCCGAGCCAAAACCCTAAGTGTTATTTGTATAGATTCACAGAACCGCGTTTATACGTTGCCTGCAAAAAGCAAAACAAAAAAATACATGCGCTTCAACTGTCTGGGCCTTCTTGTGTTCGCACATCGTTTATATTTCATGGGGTCATCTGCGTGTTGCTGCTCCCCTCAGCCCTCTCATCGGCGTGTGAGTGCGGCCCGCAGAGCACAGTCACTCTTCTTGTGTGCATTGGGGACTGAGAGAAGCACGCAGACATGACGGGAGTCGCGCCACTCCATCGGGAGAGTGAGCGCAGCAACAAGAATGCAATCATCAGAGGGGAGAGAAATGCTCACGGGACCGACCCCAAAAAAAATGCCGGCGCGTGAAATGCACACACACAAAAAAAAAAAAAAAAAAATTTACGACCGCAGTTATTTCAAGGCAGCGCATTAATTTTTTACCGGTACCGGCAACTCCTCATTGTGTTTTCTCAGGCGATAAACACAAAGCCCCACAGCCCCATCAGCAGCAGCAGCAGCAGCGGCAAAAGCAGCCGCGATGCACCCCCACGTGCGGAATTGTTAATTTTCCTTACCATCTTTAGTTCACTGACGCTCAGCGGACGGTCGTACAGAAAGACGTTCTTCACCATCACACTGCTACCTCTGTCCATGTCTTCTTCGTCTCCACCAATGTAGAAATGTGAGATTTCATGCCCCCGCATCTCAGGTGTTGGTATATTCTCTGAGCTCCCCACAAGCTGGCCATCCACGTACACGGAGCCCTTGTTGCCGTCCTGCAGCATGAGCGCCACCTGGTGTTCTTTCCCCAGCTCCCAAGTGGTGTTCGATGTCGTTTTCTTCCGATCAAACACCGTCTCCCACGTTTTATTCATGCTGTACGACAGCCCAATAATCTTCGTACTCTTACTGTCACCCAGGCACACAGCCAACAGAGGAGTACTCACATACGGGACTAGGCGGATGGTCACCGTCGCCACAAGAGCAAAGTTGTGATCCACAAAACCGTGATTCTTACCGTACTCCCAGCTGTTAACGGGCCATATTGCCCCAGACCCAGGGCCTGTGAAGTCATAGCCACTTTTTACTCTCGCCGCTTCCATAACCGTTGCATTCACGCAACGGTACTCGTCAATCCACTTGCGGTCACTGGCTGCATTGGACAGGAGTCCAACCAGACCAGCCGTGGGTGTAGACGAATTGAAAAAGAAGGCGTCCAGCTTTGCCCAAGTACTGAGGACGGACCTGATTGTCTTCAGCTCCTCCGTCAGGCGGGAGAGTGAAATGGCTGTGCTTTTTTCACTGAAGTTCTCCTGTATAAAGTGCAACGCTCCATCGGCGTACAGCAGGGTGCTGGCAAACCCTCCATTCACAGCATTCCCCAGAGAAAGTGGTCCAACATGAAAAGTGCGGCTATTGTCCGTGACCCAAAGGTAGAGCGCATTGGCCTTTTTCTCCCTCGAGAGGTACCTTTTCTGAGTGTACAGCATGACCCTCCTTCCCTCAATAGTCGCAGTGATGATGGATCCTACACGCAACGTTCTGTCCCAAGAGCCTCCTGATCGTGAGTCGACCCACGCGCCTGGGAGTGTCCCAATGGCCTCCGTCCACATTGTCCCCATGTCACGCGACTCGTAAACCATTTGGCCGTCCTTGCAGTCAGTAACCATGAGAATTTGCCCCCACTCCCATTCGGTGATGCGGGGGTTAACGCAGTCCGCCGAAGACATGCCCTGTGGGAACACCCAGTTTTTGCCACTGTCCGTCGAATAAGCCATCATGGAGAAACGGTGATAGTTTTTTTTCGACGCCGTAAGAGGAAACACGAGCGTGCCATTCAGCATCACAATGCCTGACCCGCCACCGGGCAAAAAGTCCTTCAAATCACTTTGATAATTTGGGCTATTTGGTGGCGAAACCGGTTTGGGAGCACCCCATTTGATCGGTTCACTCTGCACGTCGTCATTAGACTGCGTGACATCACCCACAACCAGTTGAATATGTGAGCCACCTAGCTTCCACCTCTTCGTATTTTTGTCATAGCTCATATGACAGCTTCCCACAAGTAGAAACACCTTATTATCCCGTGCAATTGCTGTGGGCCGGAGCAAAACACCCAAGCGTCTCCCCTCATTTCCTCGGCTAAAGACGGTGTATGCATCCCGTTTATCTTTATTGGTCTCATCGACAAGAGAGGACCATCTCTCCGCAGCCTTGATGTACCCCGCCACAATATCAGAACAAGCAAGCCCATTCAATTTATCGTGAAGATCATTATACTTTGTGCAGCCTTCGGCAAAGGCAACAATTACTCCACCAGCACGGACGAGAGAGGGTGAGCCAAACGAACCTCTCACTCCACTCCCACTAGCTAGATTAGAACTTTTTGTCACTACCCTTGTCTTCTCCGGCACAAAAATATCGACCCTTTGCGGCGATTCCGCCCCCTTTACAAATATCCTTTTCGCGGATGCAGCTCCACTGCCGCAGCACATCAAGACAAGTAGGAGCAGCACCGCGGAAGTAAACACACGCCGGGACATGTTGGGCCTCTGCGGCTCACTCTCTCTTCCTTCCCTCCTCCTTCCGCTGGATCCGGTCACGCGGCGACGGTTGTGTGTGCGGGGTACCTTCACTGCAGCAACACGTGAGACCATAGAAATATGTGTGTGTGGGCGGTGTGTGTGTGTGCTGTTGTTGTTCCTTTCAGAGCCTTACAATTTCACAGTAGCGATTCGCGTTTGGCTGTAGCTTCCTTTCCTTTGTGTGTATGTGTTCAAGAAGTGAAAGAAAGAAAACAACAAAACAAAATTAGTGGCATTAAACAAAAGGCCATGGAATAAATATACAAAACAATAAACGTTATCATCACCTATAGTGCGCCAAATGATCATCAATGTGTTATTTCTTCTTCTTCTTCTTCTTCTTCTTGTTGTTTCTCTCTCTCTCTCTCCCCTCCGCAGTACTACAATGGCCAAGACGATCACCAAAGGCACCTCACATGGTTTTAATCTGCCTGCAGCAGTATACACCCCATTTAAAAAGAATTCAGAAAACAAGAAAAGATATAGAATATAATATAAATAATATATATAGATAGATATAGATATTTATAAATATATCCACATGAAAAGGCATGGGAATCCTTAAGTCCAACTGTGGTGTTCTTCTGGGTGTCTGTTCCGTTTCGCATTGAACAAAGTAAAACAACTAAGATTTCCTTGTGTGTGTGTGTGTGTGTGTGTGTGTGTGTAGGAAAGAGGGAAAGGGGGAAGAAAAGAAAAAATGCATTCAAACTAGCAGCAGGAACTACTTTTTGGTTCACTGGCTGGTTTGTTGAAATTTATCCCGGAAGAGTGGTCACTGCCTTTCACTCGTATCTTGTCATATACAGTCCTAGCAAGCTCGTCAAATGCCTGTTCAACGCCCGCACGTGTCTTTGCAGATGTAAAGGCAAGAAGCATACGGCGCCTCTGTGCAAGCTGCTGCGCCTGTTCCTTCGGTACCGACATGAACGGCACTCCTTCCCCCTCGGAGCCTCCTCCAATGCATTTGTCAATTTTGTTTCCAATGAGCAAATATACCGCATCATCCTCGTCATCATTTCGACAAAAAACATCTGCTTCCTCCATCCACCGTTGAAGACCGTGAAATGTCTGTGGCTCGTTCACGTCATACACAAGCACGACCGCATTGGCACCGCGGTAGTAAGAACTCGTCAAGGTGCGAAATCGCTCCTGACCAGCAGTATCCCAAAGATGAATATTAACATTTCTTTTTACCCCATCGGCATCCATAACTTCCACGTTTTTGACTTTAAAATCAATCCCAATTGTTGAGCTGATATCCGGATCAAATGTTCCCGATGCAAAGGAAAGCATAAGCGAGGATTTCCCCACTCCACTATCCCCGAGAAGAAAGACTTTGATGCTCGCATCAACAGCCTGTGACATATAGAAAAAGAAAAATAAATAAATAAATAAATAAAAACAGCTAAAACCCAACCAATACTTCTTTCTCCCCTTCTCTATCTCTCTCTCTCTCTCTCTCTCTCTCTCCCTCTCCCTCTCCCTATCACTGTGTAATTGTGTGTGTGTCTGTGTGTGTGTATTTCTCTATATCCATGCGTATTACCCAACGTGCATGAGAAGGGCAGGCAACAACAACAACAACAACAAAAAGAAAAGAAAAACAAAAAAAAAAAACAGGCAAAATAAATCATCCACCTTCTCACTTGGATGTTACCGTCACAAAACCAAAAAATACGCAGATATTTATATTTTTATTTTTATATGCGTATTTTTTGTTTGTTTGTTTTTGGAGAGGCGCATGCACGCACGCAGCACCTCAAACGTACATTGCCTTCAACGTGGAGGGATGCGTGTTTGTGGAAAGGGGGAAAGGGAAGCAGAAAGAAAAAAAAAAAAAAAAAACGCCAGATTAGATCCCACAAAATCGCTTTTTAACCCCCACAGACCACCACCACCACCACCACTACCGTCTAAACAAAAGGAAAAAAAAAAAAAAATCAAATTCTTACGTTGTATTCAATATCATATCATATCATATCATATCAATAATAATAAAGGGTGAGGAGGGAACAATAAATCTCCTTCTCAATTCCTGTATTTATTCTGTTCCCATTTCCTTTTTTTTGTTGTTGTTGTTGTTGTTTCTTTCATGGGTGGTTGTATTTGTGATGAGGGCAGGTGTGAAACAACGTTCTCCGGATTGTCAGCTTCTCTACGGAAAAGGGCAAAGTACACATTGGAAATATACATTCATGTAAATACATATAAATATATGGTGAGAGAGGGAGAAAAAGAAAAAGAAAAAAGAAAAAAGAAAAGAAACCCGGGCTCCACAAAAAAAAAAGAAAAGAAAAAAGAAAAAAAAGAAAAGAAAAGAAAACGTGTGGACAGTCACGTTTCTTCCCTTCCATCCTCTGGAGATCGCCCCTTTTTTTTTTGTCATTGGCATATTACCAAAAAAAAAAGACTCTTTCACGCGCACCGAAAAAAAAAGAAAAAAAAAATACATTTTATTTTACAAGGCCGTCAAAGAAATGGACATCGCTTGGCGTCGCGGCTCGTCCGCCGGCATCTGTCATTCGTGACACGGGACGCTGCCCTCTTGCGTCAACAATACGGCCACGACGATACTGCGCCGAGGGTCCACGCACAAGATCCGATAAAGGAAGCGGTCGTGTCGGGATCCACAGAGCCCCTGTCCCACCGTGCACCATATCCTGCGTGGCATTGTCGCGAGCCTTCTTAAGCATGTCATGATCTGCGGCAACGATCACTCTATGCTTTTCAAGCGACGCCTTAAATCGTTGAAGATCCCTCTCATACTGCAGCAAGAAGGTGCCAATAGAATCCAAAGTGTAGCCTTTATACTTTCCAGTGGTCAACGGCGTATCAAACTCTTCCTCCTCATCGCCCTCATCGCCAGTGTCGTCACTCAGGGGTAAGCCAACCTTTCTACCAGTGGCAGTAAACATTGTCGTTGCGTGCATCCGGTCTTCGTTTTCCTCAAATTCCTGAAGTTGCTTGAGTGATGGAATGAGGTCCTGTCGCTTCGCAAGCGCCTTCCGTGAGGCACGTTGCAACTGGCTCAGATGAAATGCAAAATCATCCATCAGTTCATGGCGAGCGTCATCCTCTTCTTTCTCCAACTCTGCAATCGTCCTGGCGGCCCGAGTCCCTGTAAGGGAAATCAGGGACCTCTTTGCCTCATCAATCTTCTGACACTCCAGTCGCTCCTCATCGCAAATGGCACTCCTCGTGTTAAACTCCATGCGGAGTATTTCCGCAATGGCGTTCTTGTTCTCCTGCGCTTTTCTATTTTGAAAGCGGTTGGCGAGACGTCGCCTGATTCTGTAGGCAAACACAACACTCTTAATCAATGCCTGTGCATCCTGCCGGCGTTTCATCTGCTGAGCTTCCTTCTCCACCGTCTCACGCTCCTCCTGCGCACGTATGGCCTCCAGAGACGCCTTCCCAACTTCTTCTTGAAGCTGCCCCCACTCATACTCTTCGGTGTCCCCAATAGAACGCCGCGCCTCCTCCTCGGACCCAATCATCTTTGCAACAGACTCTTCAACGGCAATAGCCACCTCTAATTCTCGACGTAAAAGATTTATATCCTCCTGCTCATTAGCAAAAATAACGTCACGGCATTTTTTCTCCTCATCCATAGCAAAATGCAACTCTTCCTCCATTTTCCGTCGCCGCCTCAACTCGATCTCCTCCTTCTCGGCCTCCAGTAGGGCCTCCCCACGGGTGATGTTTTCCTCATCCATCAGCTTGGCCCTCTCTTCCCTTTCAGCCTTCTTCACAGTCAGTAGCAACTCATTCAGTGTATTTATTGTTCGGTCCCTCGCGGTAGCTTTGCCTTCCTCCACCTCAAGCGTAATCTGTTCCCGAGCTTTGTTTTCCTCATCCATCAGCTTAGCTCTTTCCTCCCCCTCAGTGCTCCCAACAGCCAGCAGCATCTCATTCAATGTATCCATGAGTTTGCAAAGCTCATCAAAGGCATTTGTAGTGCTGGCCAGCAGATGTTCACCCTCTTCTTCAATTTCTTGTCGTAGAAGCATCTCATCCCCAACCAGTTTCATAATCCCTAATTCTACATCACCTTCCTCTTCGTTGGCCGTGATGCCAATTCGCCCCTGTGCTTCAGCATCGCATAATTCCTCTATCGTAGCCTTAGAGATGATAGAATGTCTTTCCGTTAAAGCCATTTTATGGAGATCATCCATCTCTCCGCTTTCCACATCGTGCAGGCGGTTTCTATCTAGTGACTCCTCATCGCACAGATTTTCCCGAGCACGGTATGACTCTCTATCAGTCTCTCCTAGAGCAGCCTTTCTCCTGCTATCGGATTCTTCGAGCATCAATTCATCCAACAATTGAACCTCGTTAAGCTCCACAAGTTTGCGTAAATCGCTCTCCTCAAGCTGCAGCCACTCATCAAGCAGAGCATTCCGTTTATTCTCCTCGCTTTTTTGCAGCCGTGTCCGATCATCAGATTCCTCACCAATCATACCACAGAGAGCAGCGGCCAACTCCTCGTTTCGGCAAACAGATGCCTCTTCGGCGGCCTTTTCATGCAGCAGTTTCATCATTGCGTTGTCGTGGTCATTGTCAACGACATTCCGAGCCAGTTCCTCCTGCTCCATCATAGATGACAACAACTGCGCATACAAAGCACTCTTTTCATCCATCATTAATCCCTCGCGAGATGCCGCCTCGCATGCATCCACAGCGCTCAAACAATGCTCCACACGTCTCAACACCTCCTCCTGCTGAATCGTCCTCCTCTCAACTTCCTCCTCCCCATCCACCAAAACAGCAGCAAGATTCTCTCCGGCCTTAAGAGCCAACTCTGAACCCAATTCAACCCCCTCCACACGACTTTTGGCCCCCTGTTCCTCCAAGGCAGCCTCACCCTCATTCCTCACAGCGCCCCTAACGTCACCACCATCACGCTGATTTGCTGCAGTCGTATGCCGTAACCTACGATGCTTCCCTACATTCCGATTCATACGTACGTCAAAGGCAACGACCTCAGATTCCTGGCAAAATTCAATTGTAGTCTCTTCAGGAGACAATGCCAGCAACGACACACGACGGCGCAAACTCCTGTCAATATAATCAATGGCCCTTGAATTTCCAAAGGCATCACTCAACAAACTCGATCTCCGCCGTAAAAGATTCAACGACTCATTATCCGCTTCCATGGAAACGGGAAGGTCGGCACACATCGGAAACAAAGCTCGAAGCCTCGCCTGCTCAGTGGCATTAGTCGCCTCTGCAGTCCGCAACGCCTCCGCAATGGCTCTGCTCCGAGCCTCCATTGCATCCTCAAGCTCACGCAATGCCTCGGCGTTCCCCTGTGGATCCTTGCTCAGTTCGTCGTAACGCTCACGTAGCTGCTGAAACTCCGCGTCATGCAGCAGTGCTTCAGACCAACCAGGAACATCCTGGGCCGAGAGGAATGAGTAATGCGACAACCGCGCGTCCCTCTCGCAAACCTCCAGCGCCAACTCATCCGCACGGGACCGAAGCGCATTCTCCAGCTCCGCGATCCGCGGCGCATTTGCCTCGGCGTCCTCCAGCGCAGTCAGATAATCCCGGAACAAGCCCTGATACACGCCGTCACCGGCAAGCGGCAGCTCACTCAGGAGGACGCACTTGCGGTCCTCGTACACGAGAAACGGGTTGCGGGCACGCACGTACTCGTTCCCATTCCCACGGTATGCGTCGACAAGCTTCACGTTGCGAGCCAGCTCCTCTGCGCGCCTTATCATCTCTTTCTCAGTATAATTAACATCTTTCGCAATGGACGTATACCTTTGTTGCCGCACACGACGCCGCGCCAGCTGTGACAACACATCATCCTCCTGCAGCGAGATGTCACCAAGGCGCACGCCCAGCACACGTCGTGGGAGAAACGGGTACTGCTCATGCGCCCTCTCCGTCGCCTCCGCGCGCTCCTCAGCCAGTCGCACCACCAACGCAGTCATCTGCTCCTCCGTCGTGCGGATCGCGGCTGCGTTGCGTGTCGGGTCCCGGCGCTGCTCATCCAACTTGTTTGAAAGCTCGCGGAACGCCGGCTGCTGCACCGGACGCACAGCACCAAGAAGAATGCCGCGCACCGGCTCCTCGGGAAGAAACGGGTACCGCTCGTGCAGGTCCTCATTGCGAACGGCGTCAAGCCGCCGAGCCACTCGCACCTCACGTGCTATGCGACATGCCTGGTCACGCAGCTCCTGCTCAAGGCGCAAAATACCCGCCGCATCGCCCGAGGTCGCCTCCTGCGCGTGCCGTGTCGCCAGCTCCGCAAAATTGGGATCAGACATGAGAGCCAACTCACGCAGAGGGGCTCCCTTAACACTCCGCCCCAGAAATGGAAATGCCGCCGCAAGCGCCTCCTCCTCCTCCAGCACCGCCTTCGCCATCGCTTCCGCACGCGCGCTCAGCGCAGATTCCACTTCGTGGACGGACCCTGACTTCCCCGCCAGCGCTTCTTCGCGCTTCAGCAGAAGTGCACAGAACTCTTCGTCCGCCTCCACGGGGATACTCCACAGAGCAACTCCCAGCGGCGCCGAGCCCACAAACGGGTAAAGTGTCGCCATCCGCGATGCAGCCCGCTCTTCGGCCGCATGAAGCTTTCGGGTGTCAACAGCAAGCTGCCCAGCCCGTATCCGCATTTGCTCGCGCAACTGCTTTGCGCGTGGCTCGGTTGGCTCGGCACCCACAGGGACAAGTTCTTTATACCTCGCAAGCAACTCCTGGAAGTACGCATCGTCTTCCAGGTACAGCTCTTCCTGCGCAATCCCCTTGATCACATCGGGCAAAAAGGCATAGTGTGTCCCATGGGCCTCGCCTCCCAGGTCTACGACAGACGCATGCGAGACCGACCTTTGAGAGTGTTTCCCACTGCTCTTGGCGACAGACTCTGCCCCCCTCATGGTGCCGCCAGCCGTGCTTCCCCCTTCATGCGCGAGATCCGCATGCTCGCTGCCATGCATTCGATCACCCGCGGACACGCCAGACCCCGCCTGTGACGGCGTCTTCAGCCTCGCCTGCTCAGTGGCATTAGTCGCCTCTGCAGTCCGCAACGCTTCCGCAATGGCTCTGCTCCGAGCCTCCATTGCATCCTCAAGCTCACGCAATGCCTCGGCGTTCCCCTGTGGATCCTTGCTCAGTTCGTCGTAACGCTCACGTAGCTGCTGAAACTCCGCGTCATGCAGCAGTGCTTCAGACCAACCAGGAACATCCTGGGCCGAGAGGAATGAGTAATGCGACAACCGCGCGTCCCTCTCGCAAACCTCCAGCGCCAACTCATCCGCACGGGACCGAAGCGCATTCTCCAGCTCCGCGATCCGCGGCGCATTTGCCTCGGCGTCCTCCAGCGCAGTCAGATAATCCCGGAACAAGCCCTGGTACACGCCGTCACCGGCAAGCGGCAGCTCACTCAGGAGGACGCACTTGCGGTCCTCGTACACGAGAAACGGGTTGCAGGCACGCACGTACTCGTTCCCATTCCCACGGTATGCGTCGACAAGCTTCACGTTGCGAGCCAGCTCCTCTGCGCGCCTTATCATCTCTTCTTCAGTTGCGTGTGCGTCAATCGCCGTCTTGGAGTTTCTTAGCTGCCGCACACGACGCCGCGCCAGATGTGACAACACATCATCCTCCTGCAGCGAGATGTCACCAAGGCGCACGCCCAGCACACGTCGTGGGAGAAACGGGTACTGCTCATGCGCCCTCTCCGTCGCCTCCGCGCGCTCCTCAGCCAGTCGCACCACCAACGCAGTCATCTGCTCCTCCGTCGTGCGGATCGCGGCTGCGTTGCGTGTCGGGTCCCGGCGCTGCTCATCCAACTTGTTTGAAAGCTCGCGGAACGCCGGCTGCTGCACCGGACGCACAGCACCAAGAAGAATGCCGCGCACCGGCTCCTCGGGAAGAAACGGGTACCGCTCGTGCAGATCCTCATTGCGAACGGCGTCAAGCCGCCGAGCCACTCGCACCTCACGTGCTATGCGACATGCCTGGTCACGCAGCTCCTGCTCAAGGCGCAAAATACCCGCCGCATCGCCCGAGGTCGCCTCCTGCGCGTGCCGTGTCGCCAGCTCCGCAAAATTGGGATCAGACATGAGAGCCAACTCACGCAGAGGGACTCCCTTGACACTCCGCCCCAGAAATGGAAATGCCGCCGCAAGCGCCTCCTCCTCCTCCAGCACCGCCTTCGCCATCGCTTCTGCGCGCGCAATCATTTTTTTTTCGATGCTTGTAGGACTTTCCGCATCAATGAGTCTTTGGGAAGCTTTTTGTTGTTCTAGTTGCAGCATCACTGTGTCCTCTTCAAGGTGTAGGTCAGTGATGGGAATCGCATGTACGTGTGAATTTAAAAACGGAAACCTTGTGGCTGTTCGCTGTTCAATCTTTTTTTGGTATTTGGCCAATTTCTTATTATCATTTTTTATCTGATTTTTCCTTATTTCAATTTGTTTTGCAAGCCTTCTTAACAGTGGTGTATCCTCTGGCAATTGCCCGTTTTCAAAAGCGCTGCATTCTTCCATAAGTTCCTGGTAATATTTGTCATCGACAATGTCATCCTCCATATCAAACACGTAGTAGTCGACAGCTTGTTCCTTGAAGGGTACGTGCCTACCCTCTAAATCAATAATCTCCCCTTTGATTTGTCCCTTATGTCTTATTATCTGCCGATTGATTTCTTCTTCAAGCTCACTAACACTGCTTTCGTTCCCCTCAGCGTTGTCCAGTTGCTCCTCGAGATCACTGACAAGTTTGGCAATGACAGGATCCTTCAACATTTCAGGGTCAATGCTACGGCCAAATGTTGGATATGATTTTCGTACTGCATCCAATTCTTGCACCCGTGCGGCACGGTCCTTTCTACTTCCCATAATGATGCGCTTGGCGTCCTCAAGTAAAACCGGTGAGGGGTTTTGGGCACCGTCGCCCGTGTATGTTTGGAACTCCCGATGGTCCTGTAGGTGGCGAAGATCCTCCAGGGACAATGGATGCAACGCCACAAACGTTTGTTTAATTCGCTCAATCTTCTCAATTTCATGTAAAGCAAGACTGTCCGCTCGTAGCACCAGGCGGAAGCGTGCAATTGCCGCAACGTCTTCATCCACGGAGGGATCCTGCATGAGATTTTCGTACTCACGAAGTCTTTCAGCAAACAGCACGTCGTCGTCCAAAGGAAGGTGACGTAGCGGAAAGCATTTCCGCGATGTATACACAAAGTATGGGTGCTGTGAGAGTACTGCATCATCGTTGTCCGCAAGCTGAGCTTCGTTCAGGTTCTGACACACCACCAACTCCTGCGCCCTCGACTTAAGAAGAGGCTCTTTGCCCTCCACTCTCTCGGTGGTGGCAGCGGCAAAAAGCTCATCCTCCTGCAGTGAGATGTCACCAAGGCGCACGCCCAGCACACGTCGTGGGAGAAACGGGTACTGCTCATGCGCCCTCTCCGTCGCCTCCGCGCGCTCCTCAGCCAGTCGCACCACCAACGCAGTCATCTGCTCCTCCGTCGTGCGGATCGCGGCTGCGTTGCGTGTCGGGTCCCGGCGCTGCTCATCCAACTTGTTTGAAAGCTCGCGGAACGCCGGCTGCTGCACCGGACGCACATCACCAAGAAGAATGCCGCGCACCGGCTCCTCGGGAAGAAACGGGTACCGCTCGTGCAGATCCTCGGACTCGATAGATTCACGCCAGTTCCGGACGCCGATTTCACGAGCAACGGCAAGTGCGAGGCTCTCCATCTCACGCAATAAACGACGACAACGCACCTCATTGTCGTTACTGCCGGCATCACGAAGGCGATTGTAGTACGCTGCCTTTTCTGCAAACGTTTCATTCTCTTCCAAGCAGATGGTGAGTGTTTCCACCCCCTCCAATCGGTTGGGGATAAACGGATATTTTTCACTCAGTTCCTCAGAGAGTTTAACACGCTGCGAGGCGATCCACCTCACTCTCTGGTTAGCATGACGGCCAAGGCGTTCAAGCTCGCTGGACGATGCATCTGGCGAGGTAAGAAGCCGCCGTCGCTGTTCCACAATAGACATAAATTCCTCATCTTCCTCAATGTCAAGCATTTCTAATGTGTACCCTTCATGACGGCGTTCAACAAATGGGTACTTTGCTTCAAGACGCAGTCGCCGCCGGAAACCGTTTGCACTTACTTTGCGCATCCATGAATTCATCTGTACAATCCGGTGCTGCATCTGATGCATCAATTTCACCATCAACGGAGATTTTTCCCCTTGCTGTGCCTGAACAATATTTCGTTGTTGCCACAAATGTACGTAGTAATCGTCCCTTACTTTTGGTACATTTTCAAGAGAAAGAGACCCTGACATAACAGAGTCAATATCGTAGTACCACTTCTTAAGTTCCTTGGAGTCACGTCGGCGTGCCGCTATAGCTTTTATAGCTCCCATCATTTCAGTCTGTAAATGACTGTCATCGCCCTCTGTTCGCAGGCGCATGGCGAGGTTGGCTACTGTTGGGTCCTCATACAGCATTAACGTAGACAGGCGTTGATGGTGCGGCATTTCTACTAAAAATGGAAATTCCCTATGCAGCTCCTCGTCATCGACAGCAAGGCAGGAGCGAATGATGGCCGCACGTTTCCAGAGGGCTTCCAGCTTGTCCCGTATCAGGGCATTGATTGTGTCCACCGAAACACCCTCACAGGAGTCAGGAAATTGGCGTACACGAAGAAGATCACGCAGTTGCATGTCTTCTGTGAGATCCTTTGTGTGGACGGAGTAAAGTTTTGAGGGTGAAAGCCACTCTGCAAGTTCCCCTCGCCAAAGAAACATCTCCCCCTCCATTTCCGCTACACGCTGAGCCATTTTTTCTTGAATGGCCTGAATTCGGGCAGTATGTCCCTGGGTGTTGACACACTTTTGCATTTGATCCATCAGAGCGTTAAATCTCTCATCTTCCAAAACATATAACCAAGGAATAGGGTGCATCAAGTTTACATATCCTTCGTGGGCCTCGTTAAACTCTTCATCCATTCGGTCCATGTATGCCCGCTGCAATGCGGTATCTTCAGCCTTTTTAACAACATATTCTCGTAGACGGGATTCCAACTCTCTTCTCTCGTTGGCATCTTTGCTCGCATGCAGAAGACGGGCAAATTCCTCAAAAAGTACATCATCGTCAAGTCGCAGGCTGGCGGTATGCACGCCGTTAATGACGGCCGGCAAAAAAGGGTATCGTTTCAATACATCACCGTCCTGGATAAAACGAAGCAGCTCCCATATCCGCTCTTTCATTCGTTTTTCCAAATTTTTTGCGTCCGATGTTCCACCCGCCATCCGCGCACGCTTGTGGGCAAGATCCACAAAAACTTCGTCTTCAAGAGGCCGCACATCACTGAACGGAAAGTCTTCCGAGCGAGTTGCAAGAAAAGGGTATCGACGCAAAAACCCTCGCTGCACCATCGGCCGCGCCGCAAGGCGTTGCTCAAGGTAGACAAGGTTTTCAAGATATGCGATGTAGTCAGGGTCGTCATTCGGCACACCTGCCTCAGCAAAAACAATGCCGGCCTTCTCAAGTGTCTCTCCCGCATGAATCAGGCGATTCAGCTCAATTTCAACTGCGCCCTTGTTGTTTAGCAAAACGGCGTACTGTTTGCTGTGAGGCCCAAAGAGTTCACTTGCCTTCTCTGCAGCCTCCCGCAACAACGTTAAGCAGTGCTCACTGTACTTCTCCGGGTCCCAAGAGCGATAAATATGTGCGGCATCCATCAGAAGCGAAGGCAAGTCGAGTGTAACGGTTGGTTTTTTCTTGCTCACAGTAATGGCGGTGAGAAGAACCCGAATAGCGTCTTCATAGCGCCCCTCCGCCTCGAGCTGAAGACTCAGGTCCCACAAATACAGCATAAAGAAGTCGGAAGCCCAGCCAATCGTACTTAATTCAATAGACCGCTCCACAAGTTCCTTTGTGTTGACGGAGCATGATGGGAGCAGCCGTTTGCACTGTAAAAGCCCCTTGTATGGTTGAAGGTGCAGCCAGGAGCCATGCTCACTCGTTAAGTACGCAGGAAGTTTTCCAATGGCTTGGTAAAAATGATGCACCGCCTCCTCCACACAGCTGCGGTACGTGACAAGATCATCTTGTTGATACACGAGCGCAACGCGAAGGATCCAAAAACCGTACTCAATGTGGCGTCTACCCTGCGTCACGGAACATGTCAACTCCTCAAAGCCCCGCATGACACCGGGAAACAAACTCCTCCCCTCAGCAATACAATTCTTCTGCATGGTTGCAAAACACACCTCGCACACACTGCGCCTTGAATAGATAGAGACAATGGCAGACTCCCCGTAACGATTTCGCTGAGCCACGGCCGTCGCATGCACAAGATCCAACGCCTCATCATAGTTCCCATCCCAGCATGCCACTTTACAACGCATGGGAATGCAAAATGCGTGGCGATGACTGTCCTGCGTCATGATGGTGCGGTATTTTTCAGCAAGAATACGCACTTTTTTAGGGTCAATTAACTGAGGGAGAACACGTGCGTTCACGCTCACGTGCCAAATCATGTTGGATTTTTTTTCGCCCGTTTTTTCGATCGTTACTCCCAACAGGGCACAAATCCGCGCCACAATTTCTGCCTTTCGGCTCAGCCGTACCGTGGTCAGTCCGCGTATAATGTCATTATCTTCGTCCACAACACCGTACTTCTTTGCCACCACCTCCAAAAAGCGACTCTGGAATACATCTACGGTTGTAAAGGCCTCCGCCATATGCTTGGAGAGCGTCGCACTAAGTACCTCGTCGTCATAGGCAACTCGCTTCCCTTGTACTTCCAAGTAGAATTCCTGCTTGACCGACCGAGCGAGCATCTCTACAAAAAGTATCTCCTTCACATTGGCCACCGCTGCCGCGCTGTACCCATCTGATGTCGCAATCTTCTGAATCACCTGTTTTAGCAAACACATGTTGACACCAAATCCATGCAGGTGCTCACATACAATTTTAAGGCAATCGGTGATTGTAGAAATCCCGCTGTCCATACAAGACTCCACAATAGCATCCAAAACCTCATCCTTGTCAAGCACTGCAACAGTGTCCTCATGACTATCCGTCACACATTCGCACACCCGCAACATCTCCTGACGCTTCATAATAGTATCATCGACAAAAAGTGGTGTTAACGTGGAGTTTGAATTGGTCAAATAAAACCGACCATCCAGCCCTTCATAAACCTCAAGAGTACCGTCAGGAAAAGGAATGTTAAGAGCCTCCGCCATGTGCAAAATCTCCGCCACCACCTCCTGATTGTTTGTCGAGCCCGCACCGTACAGTCGAGTTGGCTCCCGCGGCATCGGGACAAGAGCCTGCGCCAGAACCGGCATACCCCGGTAGAAAAACATACATGAAAGCGGCACAGTCAGGAGGCGCGTGCGGCTTTGGAGTACTCCGCGGAGCGACGCCACGTAATTGCGCCCGGAGCGACTGTCGGGCAGGACGCGGAAGAAGATGTTGTCGACGCGGTAGCACTGCAGAAACTTGGGCAACTCCCGTGGCCCGTCGTCGTCCAGCATCACAATTTGTTTCACAGTGCGCGTCGCCTCGGCCACAAACTCCCTCTCAACGCGGCAAAGCTGCTCCATGCGGGCCTCCGCCTGAGAAATCGTGCTGTCGTCCATCTCCCACGCTAACTGGAACTCCGCGTTCCAATCCCTGCCGTGCCGCGTGATATCTGCGCAGGATGAGAGGAACGGTTTGGGTGCCGTCTGTTGCATTGGGAATGCTGCCGATTTCCTTATAGAGAGACGGTGCCGCGATGCCTCTAGCATAGAGACGTGCTTTGATACGGAGACCCGAGAGCCACTGCTGGCCGTGGGCGAGTGTGAAAAGCGTGACGCCCCCGAACCGGCGACGGAGGGTTTGACTTCGGGAATAAAAAAGACATTATGCCGCTTTTCCCGCTGCTGTATATCCGTAGTATGCGGACGACGCATGTCACGCCTGTGTTCAAGACCACACACACACACACACAAAAAAAAAAAAAAAGACCACAAACACAAACACACAATTTATTCCTTCAGGAAATCGTTTCTAGTGAAATTAATCTAAATAAAAGCCGACAAGAAAAGGAAAAAATAATAAATAATAAATAACAATAAAAATAAAAAAAAAAAAACATTCAAATATATATATATGCATACATATGGATATTTGCGAGCAGGGCAGTCTGAGCGATCCTTTTTTCCTCCGCCTCCTCACATTCCAAGCAAACCGCGTTGATGCTCACCACTTTTTTTTTTTTCCTACCCGAATGAAGAGAAGAAGAGAAAAGAAAAAAAAAACGTCCTAAAGACCCGCAGGCCACCGTTGCATGCCCTCACACCCTCCTCCCTCCTCCTCCTCCTCTTCGCAGAAACACACGTACTTTGTTGTTGTTGTTGTTTTTCTTTTGGACGGACACGTATGAACGGCAACAAAAACAACCAAAATAAATAAATTTAAAAAAAAAAAAAAAGAAGAAACTGACTAAATATAAGCTTGCAATCCAGCCAATCGATAGATAAAACACCCTGCCTCGCACAGTACGTGTACTCATTTGGGCGACAAAAAAAAAAAAAAAAAAAAAAAACAATTCAAAAATGAGAATAAAAACAAACGCGAAAACGATGACAAAAAAAAAAAAAAAGAAAAGAAAAAGACTTTAAGTCCGCATCAAACTGGGACGCAGCGAATTGCCATGCCGAAGCGTCTCTTTGCTGTGCGATTCAGACAGGGAATTGAGAAGCACGTCACAGTACGTCCCGTACCTTGCCGGATCATACGCACGGCACACGTTGATGAGGTCGTACATTAATATCCCAGAGTCCAAGGCCGAGCGAGGCACCTTTCGAAGCATGTTGAATGCAATCTTGAGTATCTCGGAGGCCATCTCGTACTTCTCGTCGCACTGCAGCTCCATGCCCAGCTCCCAAAGGTACTCCACAAAGTAGTCCACAGGGGTTACAATACGTGCCAACTGCTCGGCGTCACGTGCAATATCGGATACATCCACAAATCGCTCCGGCCGCATCATTTGTTTGCAGCGGAGAATCCCTAAAAAGGGACGAGTGTAGAGCCAAGCGCCAAAGTCACTGCGAATCTCAGCGGGTGCTAAACGTGAGGCAATACAAAATTGATGCAACGCCTTTTTCCTAAGGTCAACAATACCAGATATGCCCAAGAACCAGCATGCACATTCAATGTGGCGACGCATCCGAGTAAGCGCCCCAGACTGCTTGTCAAACCCATCTAACAGGGTGTCAATATGCTTGCAGCCGTCAGAAATGCATTCAATGTTGTCTTCGCTCAGCAGCAATTCGCAAACTTCACGTAGGGCGTAAAGGTAAGGAAGGCCCACTTCGCCATGCCGTGCTTTCTCCGCAGCTGCCACCTCAAGTGCATACCGCAGCGCCGTCTTCAGATCCCCTTCCCAACGCGCCGACTTCGACTGCAGCGGCAAACAGAATGCATACAGATGTTTCTTCGTCGTTTTCGTAACATTATATTGAAGAGCAAGGGCCTGTACAATTTTGGGATTGACAGTTGGTGGCAAAACACGAGCATGAACCTCCGGCAGCCACGTAAACTTCTCCCCCAATGATGTTTCCTCAGCGCGTAATCGAGCGCCAATAAGAACCGCAAGACGTGCAAAGATGTCATGTCTTTTCAATTGACGCACATTGTCACAGATGGCAATTATGCTTTTGTCGGAGGCCCCAATGTTGTACTTGCGCGCCAGCACGGGCAGAAACTCCTGCTTGAAATGCCCGGCATCCAAACCGCATGAGATGTAGCGCGCAACATCATTCTGAAGCATCAGGCCATCGTAGGCCGTTCGGTTCGCCTGAACACGCAAGTAAAGTTCCTGCTTAATGGTCCTGGCAAACATCTCGATAGTAACGCAATTCTCCAAAGCCTTTACCCCCTCCGTATCCGCGCCCCGCCTCAACAAAAACGCCTGAAGCACTTCCTTCAAGAAACAAAAATTGATACCGTAAAAGTGAAGAATGTCGCACAGTTTATTCTGCGCCTCTGCCTGGACCACACCCTTCAATTTCGCCAGCGCATCCAGAAAAGGCGGGGCATGCATGACAGAAAACACGTCCTCCGGCCCAGACGTCACAAGTGAAGAAAAAACAAGCATCTCATGACGTTTTAAAGTGTGCCTCAATGAAAAACTCCCTGCAAAATACATTGTGGTGATATTTGTCAAAGTGCAGTACCAACGGGCATCCAGCCCTTCGTAAACCTCGCACAGAATGGATTTTGGCAAAGGAATGTTAAGAGCCTCCGCCATGTGCAAAATCTCCGCCACCACCTCCTGATTGTTTGTCGAGCCCGCACCGTACAGTCGAGTTGGCTCCCGCGGCATCGGGACAAGAGCCTGCGCCAGAACCGGCATACCCCGGTAGAAAAACATACATGAAAGCGGCACAGTCAGGAGGCGCGTGCGGCTTTGGAGTACTCCGCGGAGCGACGCCACGTAATTGCGCCCGGAGCGACTGTCGGGCAGGACGCGGAAGAAGATGTTGTCGACGCGGTAGCACTGCAGAAACTTGGGCAACTCCCGTGGCCCGTCGTCGTCCAGCATCACAATTTGCTTCACAGTGCGCGTCGCCTCGGCCACAAACTCCCTCTCAACGCGGCAAAGCTGCTCCATGCGGGCCTCCGCCTGAGAAATCGTGCTGTCGTCCATCTCCCACGCTAACTGGAACTCCGCGTTCCAATCCCTGCCGTGCAATGGGGAGTATTCCGCTGACGCATTCACGAAGGCGCGGTCCATAGTGGCACTCGCCGTTTTGCTTTTATTTTCTTCCGGCTAATTTTTTTTTTTTTTTTTTTTTCTTTCTTCCTCCTTGTCACAGACGGCAGGCTGTAAAAAAAAAAAAAAAAAAAAGAATTCAGGCAAGACCCCAAACTCCTTTCTGCACAATGGCCTCCCGCTTCTCCTCCAAACAAATCAAAATGAGGAGGTTCTCTCTGCGTTGGCGCTGAACGCCGCGTTGATGCCATGAGCGGTGGGTCACACAAATAATCCGCTAAGGCCCATACGCTTCGTATGGCGATTGTTACGCTCGACGCATTTACGCCATACGACCTCCTCGCGGCTCCACAAAAAAAAAAAAAAAAGAAAGAAAACTTCAAGTGTGCCCGTAAAAATATCACTGCGTGAGACCGTGTCGACATTCTCCAGGTAACAAAGCCACGGCCCAAAGCGTGTGCTTCATGTACAATGAAGCGGAAAACCAATCGATGTGTTTCCCATGGGCCCTCCTGCGTGAATGACGCCACCCAGCGCCCTGCCCTCTTGCCGGCGTATGGCGTCGTAAACTCCATCCCCATCCGCCACCACTCTTCCTTCGTTTTTCCTCTTTTTGTTTTTGTTTACCTTTCGCCATGCAATGAGTTTACAGTCGGATTTGCAACAAGTCATCGTACTCATCGTCATTCGCATCCCGTGGACGCTTTCGCTGCTCGGGTGCCTTTGTCAGCCCCTTCAGCATCTGCGCCCGCACATCGCTGCGCTGCATGAGCGTCTGCAACTGTTCTTCTTCGCTCACGCCCATCTTGACGTGCGACACGGCACGCTCAAGAGCGCTCGGAGCATCCTTTTGTGCCCGTTGCTTTCGAAATTCCCGACGCCCACCGCGTTTTTTCTTCGCCTCCTCCCCCCGCACAAATACATGTGGTACAGGAAGCGCCTGCGTGTCGGTGGCGTTGACTTTTCCCTCCGCCAGCAGCAGCTCGAAGCTGTGCCGCACTTTTTCTAGCTCCGCCTCGCCGAGCGCGCCAGACGCAGAGCCGCCCGCGAGGTCTGCCTTTGCGATGATGCTACACTTGCGGGCCAAAACGGCAATTGCCTTTTTCGCCGCCTGAAGGTCATCTGCCCGCACCTCGTCGCTGCCAAAGAACTCTACAAAGATGGGCGTCTCCACAATACAACCAGCATGAAGGTGCCTGGCGCGCTGAAACTGAGTCGCGTCATCGAGGCCGAGGTGGCGAATTGCCGCGTCAGAAAGACGTGCAAGACCGACCAGGCCACTGGCCTTTTCCAAGAGCTGCTTCGCCACATCCCGACCGACCAATGCAAATAAATTGGGAGAAGCAGCCACGCTGTCCTTCGCCATCGGTGGCTCCCACCAACCCCTTTCACTGCCTTTTTATTACGCTCCACTTGTGTGTGTGTGTGCGTGTTTTTCCTGCAGCCTCAGAGACAAAATGACGACAATACACAAAACGAACAAAAAAAAAAAAAGAAAAGGGATCAGCCACACGCATCGGTAAATATATCTAAATATATCTAGATACCCGCATGTGCATATAAATAAGAGGTGGGTGCCATAAGAAAGACACATCCAAAGTCATTTACGCAACCTTTTCTCACGCAGAGAGCAACGTCAGGCAGAGACAGGCCAGCGTCCTCCCACAGTTGCTTAAAAACTGACGTACAAACACACACACACAGAGAGAGACTATAAAAAAGACATTAAAAAAGCCGTTTCATTTTTTTTTTCTTCTTTCTCTCCTTCAATTCTTTTTTTTTTTTTTTTTTGCCTTCACATTCCTCTCCAACGCTCCCCATTGTTTCACGCCGCGGCAGATGAGCGTCCCCTTTTTCTTCCATCTCGACGCATCGCAGCCTTCAGGAGGCGCACAACTTCATCGCACTCCGCCTGCAATATACGTCCACGCTCCTCCTCGTAGGCCAGTCGGCCGGCGGGTGTATCATTCAGTGCAGAGAACAGGCAATCGGCCAGACCCTCGTCACGTTTCAGGGTCAGAAGGGGCGGCCCACACACCAACCGCACACGAGCCCGCCGCCACGTGTCCCATCCGTCATTTGCCTGCATCACCGGTGCCGCATCCCCCTTTGGCTCTTCAAAAAATATATCACGGAAGGATGAACACTGCAGTCGCTCCTCCCCATCCCCCATCTGCATTTTATCCGCCGGGC